CGGAGGGAGAGGAAACCTGAGAAGACTCCCGGCAAGAGAAAGGAAACCGCTTTGGGTGGAGAAGAAACTTCTCGACGCTTCGAGCCAGAGGAGGGGGGAAACGGAAGTCCCAGCTCATCTGATGATAGTGACTATGAAGATGCTGATTGCTGGGTAAGTTCCCGCTCTGGGCCCAGAGGCTTATCTGCCAAGGCTTATCTGTGTTGGATTGCTGCCAAGGACCTGTCTGTCTATTAATAAATTCCGTAAAGTATCTTTGGCTTGGAGTGTGTTGGTGTGGGAGGAGGGGGGGTCAGAACACATAATTAATTTTACATCGCATAATTTCTAATTTTGGCCCCACATTTTCTTTCCAAATTACCATCTTAAATTTAAATTTTTCATAACAAATAAACAAAATCGTATTTCACCCTTCCATAAATAATATATCAACTTTATCATTTCATTTTCTATTTGTTATTTCTAGTTTCTGTATGCAGCATAAATCATCAAAATTCTTTTTAATATAACAAGCATTTCACTTAATTGGTTATCCACACTTGACAATAATATTCTATTTAGCTATATATCATCAACAATAGCCATATATTTCATTTTCTACCAATATCTCTTTTTTTCATTTTCCTCTTTTCCGAACCATTTTCTCTCAGCTCATCTCTTGCTCTTTGATGTTCTATTTTTCTTCAGCTTTCTTTTTCTCCTTCTATCTCCTACTCTTAGATTCCCTTTTTCTTCTTCTTTTTTCCTTTTGTATATCTTCTGGCTTTCCCCTATCATTCTTCTTTGATTTATTTGAGTAACCCTCCCTTGGATTCCTCTTTTTTGCTCCCCACTATTTTTCTCTTTACTTTTAGGTTGTTTTTTCTTTGGATAGTATTTTCCTTTTTCTCTCCCTGTGCTTCCTGTATCTCTATCAGTCTCAATATGATTGCCTATCTGACTTTTATTTTCAGATATTTTTCCCCATCTTATTTGTCTTTTGTCTCTCTTTTATATTTCCCTTTATCAATTCTTCTCCAACCTCCTGTTCTATGTCTTTCAATGCTTTTTCTGGCTCTTTAATACCTTTTAGTGTTGAGCGTGCATCTTTCAACATTTCAAGTATTTCTTCAAACATTCCACATTCCACGTTCAAATTTAACAAGTTTAATAAATTTTTAATATTTTGTATTTTACATCACCTTAGATTTCTGTCTAGTGGGAGGGAAAGTTTGTCCAAAATGTCTGTATTTTCTGTATTGTAGAAGCAGCTACACACACACACACACACACACACACACACACAAAGAAAAAAGAGAGAGAGAGAGAGCCTATTCAGAATTAGATTGAAACTATCTCCTCCACACACAGTTTTTCCTAGGTTGATTTTTAGCA